GCCCTGCAGCGCTCTCCCTGCACCAGGCTGCAGTGAGAACTGACACAACTCATTACAGCGATAGCCCAAGCACCCCAGGGTGCTTTTTGGCAGCACGTTCCCACGTCCCCGCTTGCGTGGGGCAAGGTAGGTGCAAGGTTTGGCCCATCACTGCTGCCCGCAGCTGGCAGAAGGCAGCAGGGGGACCTTGGTGCCACGTGGCTCCTGGCTGCTATAAAGCTTGTGGCCCCGGGGGCACAGCCGTGTCCTCCCAGGATGGCGTTTCTGTGGGCAGTTGCCTGCCTGGCCCTTGCCAGCACTGTCTCAGGTAAGTGCTGCCCGCGGGTGCAGGGAGGTCCTCGGGGTGCAGCAGGACCGGGGCACCCCGGGGATGGTGACACGGAGCCACCCACACCGGCACAGGCAGTCCCTGGGCACGAGCCCTGAGCTTTCGGAGTCACCCTTGTGCCCCTCTGCCTCTCCCGCAGGCTGCGGGGTGCCTGCCATCAGCCCCTCGGTGCACTACAGCGAGAGGATCATCAACGGGCAGAACGCAGTGCCCGGCTCATGGCCCTGGCAGGTGTCCCTGCAGGTACGGCACCGTTCTGCTCCCCGGGCAGGGGCTGGCACCGTCGGTGCCCTAAGCACCGCAGCGACACGGCAGGGCGAGCAGGGCGCTGGGGCTGGGAGGCGGGCAGGCACCAAGGGGACCCACGACACCCTCTGCCTGTCCCCAGCTTCAGGGGGGAGTGCTCAGCCTGCCCAGCCCCAGCTCTTCCTCCCCCTTTCCTCCCCAGACCCGCTCAGGTTCCCACTTCTGCGGCGGCTCCTTGATCAACGAGAACTGGGTCGTCACAGCTGCCCACTGCGAATTCAAGTGAGGAGCGATGCCCGGCCAGCCGACGCCAGTGCCACCCGGCAGGGGCAGGGGCTCGGGGCGCACTGGGCATCGCCGAGCGGCACTTGGGACAGCCCCAAAGGCCAGCACCCAAGGAACTGAGCAGCCCGTCTGTCCCCATGGTGGCTTCCCTTGGGCACACAGTGCATCATGCCTGCAGCAGGCCCCGGTGCTGCTCCTACCCCGGGCGCTGGCTGCTGCGTGTCCCCCTGACTCCCTTACCTCTCGCAGCCCGTACTCCCACGTCGTCGTCCTCGGGGAATATGACCGCGGCTCCAACACGGAATCCGTTCAAGTGAAGACCGTGGTCAGGGTGAGCCGGGCTGACGCGGCCGCGGTCCTGGGATGAGGCTGCAGCTCTGCGCTGCGGCGGCTGCTCCTGGAGGGCAGGGATGAAGCGCTATGGTATTTCTCGGCAGGCCATCACAAACCCCAGCTGGAACCCCCACAAGCTCAACAACGACATCACCCTGCTGAAGCTCTCCTCGCCCGCCCAGCTGGGACCCCGCGTGTCCCCCGTCTGCCTGGCCCCCGCCAACCTGGCTCTGCCCACCAACCTCCAGTGCGTCACCACCGGCTGGGGACGCACCAACACCAACTGTACGTACGCCGCAGCTTCGGGGAGGGCTGCGTGCGGCTGCCGTCCTCCCTGGGGGGGCTCTGCAGGGTCCGCGGGTGCCCGTGGGCACCCGGGGGGGTGACACCTCGTGTGCATGTGGGGAGGGGGGAGTTGGGCAGTTGAGTAACCCTGTCTGGGCGCGTACAAGCGTGCATACACATCCATTGGTGCAAGCAGGGGTGTAGGTGTGTGCCGAGGAGGCGGATGCGTGCATACCCTAGGGGCGATTGTGCACGGGCTTGCCCTTGCTCGGGGCTGCTTGCAGGAGACGATCACGCCCGGGGAAGAAGGAGTAACCTTGACACGGAGGGGGAAGGTGCTTTGCACGGCAGCCCCCATATTTGGGAGCACCAGTGGGAGCTCGCCCAGGGTTGCCCGTGTGCTCCCAAAGGCCCCGGGAGACCCGCTGACACCGGGGCGATTTAACGGTGCTTCTTTCCCCTAGCCCAAGCCTTGGCAGCGCGCCTGCAGCAGGTAACCCTGCCCTTGATCTCCCCGAGACAGTGCATGCAGTACTGGGGCAACCGGATCACCAGCTCCATGCTCTGTGCCGGCGGGGTTGGCGCCTCCTCCTGCCAGGTAAGGAGCCGAGGTCCCGCTGCACCGCAGGGAGGATGGAGGAGGACGACGACATGTCGGGGTCTTGCATCTACAGAGCCAGAGATTGAAGCTATAGCACCTGGCCGTGCCCTGCACCGCAGGGAGGATGGAGGAGGACGATGACATGTCGGGGTCTTGCATCTACGGAGCCAGAGGGGGTGTCCATGGGGTGGACAGGGGACCAGGTGGCTGGGGTGGCAGGGACCAGTTTGGAGCACGTGCCGAGACCACTAAGCAGGAGGTGTCTTCTCCGCAGGGTGACTCTGGCGGACCTCTGGTATACCAGAACGGGAACGTCTGGACCTTGATCGGCATCGTCTCCTGGGGAAACAGCAACTGCAACGTCCACATGCCCGCCATCTACACCCGCGTAAGCCAGTTCCGAAACTGGATCGACTACGTTGTTGCTCAGGGATAGAGCCAGTGCCGGAGGGATCCCTTCGCTGGGCGCTGCTCCCGGCACGGTGAGCTCGGCAGAGCCGGCAAGGGCCTGAGCTGGAAGCAAGGCACCCCACCTCATAATAAAATGTCAGCATTTGCTTGTGCCAAGCGCTGCCTCTCTGGCTCCTTTCCTTGTGCGATGCAGACTGGTGTAGAAGGCGCGCGGGGGAAGCCTGGGGCACCCCGTGCTCCTCTCCTGAACCCCAGCACCTCCCAGAGCTGGAGCTCGGTGCCCAGCTGGGGAGGTGCGAAGGCAGGACAAGATGCGCAGGCAGAGGGGGAGCAGGGCTGGCTGCGGCTCGAGGGCTGCTCAGGGGGTCTTCAAGCACGTGGACCTACGCCCTGGCACCAGCCCAGAGACCACCGCAGCGCTGAGGGTGGGTGAAGTCACCTGTAACGGTCCTTTCCACTGACCCAGGTGCAAGGTCTCCGGCACCAAGCTGGTCCCACCAGGGAAGGGACTGCGGAGCTGCGGCTCACCAGGCCGAGCACCGGCGAGCACCTCTCGGCTTGCGATGGAGGGTGGGTGCTGGTGGGTGCACGGGATCTTAAAAGATTCCCTGCCTGCAATTTAAAGCCGTGACTTGTGCAACAGCCCGGGAACACAGAGCTGAAAGGGAGAAATGCCAACGGCAGCTCCGGCTCCTCGGGAGGGTGGAAGGGGTCAGCTGGAGAACAGCACGCTGCTTCACACGCGCAGATTTGCCAGGTAACAGAGCGGGAAACTCGAGGCCATCTCAAAGGAAAATCTGAAGCTGAAAACAAAATTCAAGGCCAGGCGAAGGTTTTCAGAAGAAAGCAGCGCTGTCACCCAAACAGGGTCTTGAGACAATGGCATGTACACAAAAACAAAAAAAAAAGGAAAGAAAAAAAAGTCTTGTGTTGACACATGGTCAATGAATTAAAACCTGGTTCCCGGCAGCTCCAAACAGAGCTGGTCACGAGGACACTGTGGAGAGGAGCAGGATCAGACCGTCCCAACACGAGGCGTGGGGGTTTTTTTCTTTACCAGTGTTGTGAACACGATATAAAACCTTTGCTGCGTGTATCACAGCCCCCAAAATGTTGTAATCGCTCTCATACCAAGCAGTCGCAGAGAAAGCATGACGCTACACAGAGACATACCCGTGGGAAGGGTTATAGGTCATGAGTGGAAGGTAAAAGGACAAAAAGGTCGGCCCATATGCTGGAGTTTAAAAAATAAATAAATAAATAAAAGCTGCTCAAGTACAGCCCAGGGCTGGTAAGTTTTAGCTTGGTTGGCTAAAATTTAGCTTCATTTAGTGGTCTGCTCTGCAGGGAGCAAGAGCAACTGGAGCAAACTGACATGGGGGAGCAGGGGCTTGCAGAGAAACCCGTGAAGCTGCTGGCTTGGGCTCCTTTGCCTTGGAAAGCCTCGCCTGGGACACAGGGGAGAAGGGCACGGGGGCCGAGCTCCTTGCAAATCTCCCCTAAGGCCGGCGGTAGCAGCTGCACTAGTCCCACACCGGTCCCACGGGTCTGCCGCGACGTTTAGAGTGTGCTTTCACTCCGCGGTACCCGAAATAAAACCCATCACATGAAAGCAGCACACTCTTTTTTGGCTTTAGTTAGCTCCTAAATGACCTTAAAGACAGTTGAACGTCAGAGATGTGGGGATGGGCCATAAGGGCAGAAGAAACCGGTGGCCACATGGAGCTGCAAGCAGGAATTAATGAACTGAAGCTCCGGGTCATTTGCTCCGTGTGTTCAGGTCACTGTCATCCCTACCACTGCTGGGACGGGGTCCCTTGGCCCTGAAAGAATCACCCCACCTCCAGGAGGAGGCGGTTCGAAAGGAGTGTGCTTTTTTCACTTGGTATTACAGGTTTGCCTGTTGGTCAGTAAAAGCTGCTCAGAGTGAAACCGGAGCGGTGACGAGTCGCTGTAGGCAAACCAGGGTATTTCTCTGGCCCCGTTTGCCACCTTGCAGTCAGAGAAAAGCGAAGAAAATGTCCCAAAGTGCCTGTTCAACCTCCGGACCCTGCCTTCCAGCAAGAGGTGGCGGGCCCAACTCACTTGGAGCGTCCCTGCGGACATCCCAGCCCCGCACACAAGGTCTCCCTCAGGCAGGTCCTGGCCTGGCAGCTGCGTTAAAGAAACCAGCAAACTCTTTTACGGGCACTTTGGCACCTTCTCGCTGTGCTCCAAGAACATATCAGAGGGGTGAGCAGCTCCTGGCTTTCGATGCGTTTACTGACCATCGTTCACAGCCTTTCAGCAGTCAGCCCGTGCGCCATCCACAAGCCAGAAGTAACGACAGTAGAGCCATGGGGTACACAGAATACATTTACATGTTTAGCAGACCGAGTACACAAAATAAATAATTCTGTACACTCTAATCGTTAACGTTACAGACTAATTACAATGGTTCGGACCTCATCCTACAAGACAGTCCTTAGTGTAAAGACAGGACTCAAAAGGCAAGTCACAGGACTGGATGCTTCTCGCACCAGCCCTGTTAGGAGACTAATGGGACGCGACCGGACTTACTTCCAAACCGTTCCGAGCCAGCACCGGAAATTTGGTGACCAAAAATAACAGCAAGTGCCGGAAGACCTCTGGTCCCGAGAGCTTCCCGGGAGGTGTCTTTCCGTAGTGAAAGGCAACAGGAAAACTCACGGCATCTGGGCGCGCTGGCAGGAGCTGCTTGTTTCTAACGCACCTCGTTGGGGCTGTGGATCTCCTCCACATTCAGCAGAGAAACACAGTGCAACGTTATTTGCAACGGCAGCGAGTAACTCGCCCGTCACACACGAGGGATCTACAGTATTACGGTGCGGGGGAGGACAGCGGGAGAAGGGAAGAAACGTCATCGGGCTGGCAGCAGCCCGTTGCCTCCCGTGATCCCTCCACCACAGGGACACCGAGGGTGGAAGGTACCAAGCTCCGTGATGCCGTTGCCACCGCGCATCCCTGCAGCTTCACTTTTTTCTTTTTTTTTTTTTTTTTTTTTTTTTTGGCAAATTTACTGCTCAGTAAGGCACAGCTGACATGCAGGCACCTGCCTCCGCAGCACCCAAGAGCTGCATTCTTAATCCAGGCTGAAAGAGGAGACTGAGCGGTCAGAAAAAGCACCAAAAACCTCCCGAGAGTGGTGTAGGCAACTCGGGGCTGGGTATCCGGCACCGAGTGGCACAGGCACTTTGTGATATTTTGCAGGACGAAGCCGAGCTGGTGAGGACACGACCACCCTCCCTGCAAATCCAAGGGCTCACACTGCTGCCAGAGAACGGTTTGCGACTCCTCCAGAGGACGTGATCCCTTCCAAAAGCCAATCTCTGTGTTGCTTTGCATCATTTAGAAAACTAAATTAAGTCAAGCAATTGAGATTTTCATTTACCCTACACCTCAGACCCTCCAAATCCTTACTATCGCCACTTAAAATAAGACTACGGCCCCACGCAGTCTAGTAAGAGGCCTGTAACAGCCACGCACTAGCTGTCCTAGGTTGTACAAGATCATCTTGAGCTGAGCCGGCACTGCAGGGTCCTCAAAGGGAGCCTTCTCCCACCTGCAAGGCACCACACAGATGCTTTTACCTTGCCCCAGGACTCACCAGGGCTCCTGCAGAGCCAAATCCAGAGCTGCTGCCCAGTAGCTGAGTTAACCACGATTCCTGTTCCAGTTTGTGCATTACATAAAAGTTGACTAACATGAGTACTTCAGCCAAACACCCTGGTAGAAGACAGGATTGAGAAACAGAGCAGGGTATAAGGAAGAATGTAAGTTACCAGAGCAGAAAATATCTGATCTAAAAGAAGAAAATATCCAAATTCCAAAGAAGTTAAGAGTTTGAGGGTTTATCATTTCCAAAACAAATACGTAACGCAGGCCCTACGCCGCAGCTGGTTTCCACATCGCTACCGAAGCCAGCAGGTCAGAGCCCTTTTGTCTGGGCTCGCTCTCATCACAAGGCTATAAAGCCGTCCCTCACGTACGGTTGTACGTTTCCAAGAACAACGCAGTCCAGGAACTGGCAAGGAGCATCTGGATGCTATCACAATCTCAGCGTTAAACAGCACAGACTTCTTCTGGACTGAAGGAAGGAGGGTTTCTACCGCCACCGGGTTGACACGTTGGTTTTTAAAGGTTGAGAAGGGTGAGAAGTAAATCAAACATGGACAAGCAATTGCTGTTTTAGCAAAATGCATAGAAAAATACATTACATACTCAAAAATCTGGATGCAAGTCTACAGACCACCTAACGTTATTTCTGGAAGATTTTCACATTTTGACACGTTGGTTTTTAAAGGTTGAGAAGGGTGAGAAGTAAATCAAACATGGACAAGCAATTGCTGTTTTAGCAAAATGCATAGAAAAATACATTACATACTCAAAAATCTGGATGCAAGTCTACAGACCACCTAACGTTATTTCTGGAAGACCTTTTCACATTCAATTCCAAAACCCCTCAAAAAAAAAAAAATCAAAGAATCAACAGGCCACGTTCTTTGAAGCCGTAATTCTCTCCCCCAAGAGAGCAGCCAAACTCCCAGGACAAAACGACGGGATTGTTTTACACAGTACTGCTAAGTTCCAAAAGACAATCAGCCGTGATTCCCTTTACTCCTTAAAGCTGCATTTCCCCGAAACAGAATACGCTGGGAAGCAGCACCCTGGGCTGCTCCATCGTGCCTCACGATGGGAGAAAGTCCCAAGCCTCCCGCTTCCAGCCTCAGCATCTTTAGTCTTTGCTTTCTCCCAGTGTCCCCTCGGATGCCTCCCCAAGGCGGGGTGCTGGTGAGCGTCTCCTTTAGCCACTGGGGGGTTGACCGCACACATCTTTTCCCCAGCATCGAGCGTCCCTTCCAGTGGGTGCACAAGGACTCGTGCTCGTCCCTGTGCGGGCCAAAATGCTGTTCTTTGGGAGAAAACGGTGCCACGCTGAGAAGGTTGCTGAACATCTAGGACTGCAGGTGTGGTCCAGGACCATCACTCGGCACACCAAACCCAGAGCATCTCGCCCAGAAACAGTGGGAACGTAACCAGAAGAGGGCTGTACTTGGACAAGGACACACTACAATTTGCCACTAGGTGTCATTCCAGCTTCATTTTCATTGTATGAACAGAAGTACGGGAAACAAAAGCACTCCTCTACAGAGATTTGCACCCCAGCTAATATCAAGACTGCAACTCAGCAATGGCCTGGAACGTGCATCTGTTACCTGCGTTCTCCCGGCTAATTCAGAGGAAGCCTTCAAAAAAACCCCTGCGAGCCAAATTGAGAACCGCCATTAAGAGCCAAAGAAAGAGGTTTAAAAATGAAACAAAAGAAAAGACATTTCAGAGAGATTTTAGCTTCTAAAATCCCCAAGCAAGGCGCTCCTGAAAAGTGTAAACTCCTGAGACTTGAGATAAACTGAGATGCTCCTGTGGAATATATACAAAGACAGATGATCGAGATAATTCACAGTGAAGAGCTTCTTAGCGGACAGATTTAAGGCACCTGAACTACTCCTCAAAATTACAGCACTTTGCCTGTCCTCCCCGCCAGACCCAGCTGAAAACGTGCCACAATTGCAAGGATAAAAGCACCCGAGGAATTGTTCTTGAGCTGGACCCTGCAACGTAGCATTTGGACCACGGCAGTTTTCCGGACAGAGTGAAAACGGAAAGATCACCGAGGGCTCCAAGGGACACTTACTTGGAGGGAGCTCCGCTAGTCTCCCCTCTGCCCACGCATGTATTGTCTGGGTTCCTGCGAATAGTGAATATAGAAGAAGAAGAGGGATTGAGCCAAGGGTGTTATAATCAAATGATGGAAGGAAAGCCCATAAAGATTTTCCCCATGTTTACATTGATTTTTCCATGCAAACAAGAAAACACTGCGTTTGTAAAGAGAATTAGAGTTCTTTTTCTAGAAAAGCCAAAGCCCCTTATGGGATGGACTTGGTCCTCTTTGGTGCAATTCCCTAATAACGGGATGCCCGAGGACCACACCTCCATACCACAAAGAGGCAGGCTGCAGCTATCTCGTAATGCTCATGTACGTGAAGGATCCTCCCTTCTGCCAATTCTCCTCCCTGGTCAGAGAGTATCGTCACAGAAAACCGACGCTGTCAGGAACCTATATAGCAACATCTCGCTTCCCAAAACATATTCCACCCCAAACTCACCACGAATGACATCGCTTTGAACTTCTCCTGGTGAAAAAACAATTGCTGAAGAGAGCAATAAAGCAAAAACTGTCACAGATGAGAAGATTCTTGTTCTGCTTTGTGAAGGTGGAGAAACAAGCTTGGTCAGACCAGAGCTCAATGTCCTGACCTCCTCTCCACCTTCATTCCTCCCCCGCAAGGGAAAGCATGAAGGAACAGCGTGGGTCGACACCTGCACAACATCTGTGCATTTTGATGGTCTAGTGGTTAAAGGAAAGGGTCTCAGGTTCTAGAGGTCTTGGCTCAGTTCATCAGTTTGACCTCCTCGCATAGGCAAAATACCTATTTTAAGGGTAAACATGCAAGATAACCTGGGGAGGGCCATGAAAGCACCCAGGAGGGAAAAGAGATCCCAGTGCCTGGGTGTGATGCTCCAAACATGCAGAAGACATGAGTGACGGCTCAAAACCAGAAGCCCTCCGAGAGGAGCATCCTGCCATCTCTTAACGTCCAGGGGAAGAACAATTTTCCAGTCTTAGAGTGGTGGCCGCCTCTGAAGAGCTGTTTGCAGTAATATGAGGGGCACTGAACTGTTTATGAAGCAAAACGTGGCAAGCTGCCTGTTTTGTCAGAAATCACGTCTAGTTAATAGTTTATAGTAACGAACCAGGGAAGACTACGTGAGAAGGTAAACAGAAGCAGAAGAAACTTTTTTTTTTTGCAGTCCACAGAACTGAAAAAAACACTTTTTGGTAATTCTGCGGTATCCGTTAATGCTGATGGAAGAAAGACTGCACGTGATATGGTAGAATGGCCAGAGAAAGGGCAGCCTGCAAAGGATCCAGAGCTTTCAAAATATTATGCAAAACCATGCAAAGGATTTAGAATTCACCCCTGCTACACATACTGGCTGCCCTCAGGTTTCCTCTGGTGTATTCCCCACCGCACGCTTGGGCACATCGAGCTGTGCTCACAGTGGTTACGGCCCATCCCAGCTTTGGGGTGGAAAGCACATCCCTAGAAATTCCCTTTTTTTTTTCCTTAGCACAGAAAACTCAGTGTTCTCCCACTGAAGCTGCGCTGCTTTGCTGTTTGCTGACCAAGAGGGGCTGCGGCCAGCAGAGTTAGAGCTCCCTGGAGATGTGACCAACCACTTAAAACCTTGCTGACACTAAAACACAGCAGCAGCACAGACATCAATCCTGGGCGGAAAGGCCATGCTCGCCAGCCCCTTGAGCTTGCACAGCCCGAATCTCCAGCCCAGAGCTAAGCAAACGCTTCCCAAGTGCACGGCATGAAGCAAACCGTATGGCTTCATATGAAAAGTTTCAAAAACCAGCATTCTCCTTCACTGCAGATCTTGTCTCTGCTACCACAAGAGGCCGAACCCACCCTGAGACTGTGCCATCAGCCCCGCTTTGCTGCTCTTACTAGTTGGGAAGAACTCAGCAGGCTTGCACAAAGCTCAGCTGTACAGCCCCCACCTCCCCTGAGAGGTCCTTCACAAGAGGCCCCCGCATCACCCATCCAGGACGAGGAAACGTGAAAGGCAGCTTTGTCCTGTTGAATTTAAGTCACACCTAACAGCTCTAAGGTGTTTGTGCAACGTCTCCAGGGCATTATCACTGCTGACACTCCAGGATTGGACCTCCACGACTCAAGCCCCTACCCTGATGGCTACGGAGCCATTTGTGGCCACCCCGACAGCTCCCACCACCACTTCACTGTCCCAGAGCCGGGACAGCAAGACTGGGGCACAACAGGCATGCAAAGTAGGGGAGCCCCATAAAATCCGCAGACAGGGAGCAATACCTGGAACCACCGAAGTTTTGGTGAAGTGATGAAGTTGGTAACGCTAGTCTGAAGGGCGCAAGACGTGTAACAGGTCACAGACATGACAAGACCACGTCACAGCAAGAACAAACCCTGCATGGTAGGCACTGGTCTTGTTGCAAATAGCGGAAGGATAATTCAAGGGGGACAGCAAGGAACCCCCCAAAAACCTGCCTTGCCAAAGACATCTCTCTGCATACCATGAAGTTCCTGCAGGACAATGATTCTCTTCCCACCCCTCCATCAGGAGCGCCCACCCAGTCCGGATCAAGGGAACCGGACTACAGCACCGGGCTCGCAGCACTTCAGCCCGGTTGCCAATTTGCACGGCAGTTCTCGCACAGCTTGAGTAAACCCTTGATGTCATCAGGTGGATGGCAGCCCTTGGGGGAAACCTCGCAGCTTCCCAGCCGTCACGCAAAACTGCTGTCTGGCATCTCCTCAGCGCCGTACTGAGACGAGGAGCTGGTGGGCAGCACGCCGGTGAGTCAGAGCTATCCTACTTCTAAACTGCATGTGACTCATACCAGCTTCACTGCAAAGGCACCACAGAGTCTGACTAAACCAGCTCAAAATTTGTGTATATATAATTTTTAAATACATATACACACCCACACGTGTACGTGCACACACATACGTGCATGTACATACACATAAAGTGATTTTTTTTTTCATATGCAAGTGAGAGAAACTTAACGCTCTGGAATTAATAAATAACTATGAACAACCAAGCTCCTGGGCTACAGAAAGAGCTCTTCTCCCCACGTGGCTCCTTAATTTGTGTATTACTTGAGGCTCTGAGCTGTGCTCTGAGCCCACAAGGGCTCCCCCGTTTCCTGCGTGAGACCCCCATGGCACAGCTCACAGGGTGTGATGGCCACCACAAGATTCCCTTTCCTCCGCACGGGGGGAAACCTCCGCACGGACGGGGGGGACACCTGGAGGGAGGGAGGGAGGGAGGAACCTGGATGTTCCTCACTGAGTGAGTGTGCGGCAAAGGGTGCCGCACACCTACACCGCAGAGAAGACATCTGGAAAGATGCCTGGCACGTCCCAGCCCAGTGCTCAGCCAGTGTACTGCTGCTGGTAGCGCAGGTTGAGCTCTCGCAGCTCCCGCTCCCGAACCCGCCGTGACTTGTTGGATTTGGTGGAGCGGCTGGAGCGGGTGGACTGTGCGGACTTGGTGCTCTGGCAGCGGGAAGATGCCCTCTTGAGAAGGTTTTGCGAGATGGAACGGTGTAGGTTCTTCATGGAGGAAGAGGCTGCCTTGCTGCCCACCCATGGGTGCTTCAGGGCCTGAAGGGCTGTCATCCTGTCACTGGGGTCCACCGTGAGTAGACGATCGATGAAATCCTTGGCCAGGTTGGACACACTGGGCCAGGGCTGAAACACAAAAGACATGATTAGAATGAAACATCCTGGCACAGCTTCGCTGATTAATTAATTCCACCCATCCCCAAAAGGCGCTTCGGGGCATTCTGCTTCTTCCATCCTCTCTTTCACCCTCAAATCTTCCAAGATACTGTAACCAACAGTATCTGCCCAAGGAGAACGAGACACAACTACTTCAAGAGACTGTTAGGGGGAGAGGCTGAATTAGTGGGAAATGTCTACACGTCCATAGGTGCAGCGTGGATCCCTCCAGCAGCTGGGCTCAGGCACTCAGCCTGCTCGGTAGCAGACCCTGGATCCCAGTCTTCCCAGGTGCCTCAAGCCTACAGACAACCTACACACGCGTGTGCACACACACACAAGCGGTCTCAGTCAACCCCCAGGGCTCAATCATCTCTCCAGCAGCTGGCTGGGACTTCCCTGGTCCCTCTGGTCGCCAGATCCTCCTGCGGTCTCGTCCTTGTCCTTAGAGAGACACACACAGACGGACATCCCCAGCTTCCAAGTCCCTTCACCCCCTCGTCCGGCTCCATCTTCGCCAACAGTCACGCACTCGGACACACACTTGCTCGTGTGCCCGCGCTTGCTCCGGTTGCCGCTCCACGGACACACACGGGCTCCCAGACCTACGTCCCGCTCCAGCTGCTGGCCCTGAGGCCTCCCACCTCATCTTCTCAGGTCACCTTCCAAAATCATACAACTACTACAAAAAGAACAGTAACTGTATCCCATTGAAGACCCTCCTCAACCCGAGTGCTTGGTATCCGATAAAGCCATTACTGCTTGAATTCAAGCCGTCCTGCTCACAGAGGACGGATCCTGACACCAGACCCCTGGTTCTCTTCTGACCCTTCATCTTAAGGCATGCATCTAGTGAGCAAGCACTGACCTCTGCGTCAATCCTGAAACCAAGACTAGGGAGATTTTTCTGCTGTGGTACTCGGTCTCACTCCCACATGGAAATCTAGGAGATGTTGCTACAGGTCAACCCTGGAAAAGCCAACTCAGCCTGGCTGGAAACAACCCCATAAAACGTTCTAAATATACATAAATGTTAGATATAAGGAATTTTCAGGAATGCTTACCAAGGAAAGAAGAAGGAAATTTTTTACAAAATACTATTTTTAAAGAAACAAGCCCAAAATAATTAATTAATCCTACAATAAATTCCTCCTATATCCCCCCAGTACACCAAAGTATAGCCATAACAACTTACGAGACAAACACCTAGAGCCATGCATGCTGGAATTGCTCCATTTCTGACAAAATACCGTATTTGCACTAACGTGAGAAGTGAGAACGTTTCCTTTAGCATGAGGTGAAGCTTGGGCTGTGGACAAAGCTAGGAAGAAAACTGTGGCAAAATCCACTGTAAGAGTGAAGAGGAGGAGGCAGTATGGCTAGCATAAAAAACCAAGTGTCGAATGGACCCAGGCAAGAGCAGGTTTCTGCAATCACTGGGTGTCGTGTGGGTCTCACCCCTCCTGAAACCACCAGTACTGAATTTTTCAAGTACGTGGAGACCACATCCCAAGCGGCATTAAAAAAAAGCCTGAGCAGATTCATGCAATGAAGTGAAGACTTCGATACAATAATTAAGGTCATGTACAAACACATACGTCTGAGTGAAAACAGCATACGTGGTTAAAAAAGAAAAAGGCTGCTATATTCTGTGTCTTTCATTCCTCTCTTCATTTGGTGAGGAAGAAAAGAACCCAGCTATTTTAAAATTCAGGGTCCGCCAACTGTTCAGTCAGATATAATGCCCTTTTCTTGTGCAAAAGGTCTAAAAAAGGTACGTCCTGATTTTTTTTTTTTTTTGAGGTCTGCAATTTATCGCTGCCGAAAGCAATTTTCTCTTTCAAATGACAAAGGCACCGGCAAGAGACCTAATCCACGGGAGGATTTTGTAATGAAAGGCAGGACGCTCCGAGAGTCACAGCACCGCTCCCGGCCCCGGACCACGGACGGTCAGCGGCACGGCCAGGAGAGATGAACTCAAGCTCTAGCCAAGGAACTGGCTACTAGGATGATCAGGGTACAGAAAGTACCTTATTTTACAAGCGATGACTAAAACAGCCTGGCTTACTCAGCTTCGCTAAAGTGGGATATATGATCACTGTAACTATGCAAGAGAAGAGAGTGAAAACGATATGAACTACTTGATCTAAAGAAAATACCGGTACATGAATAAAAAACTATAAATGTTCCTGAACGTATTCAGGACAGAAATGGAAATACTTGGAGCCAGCGTGCTCAGGAGGGAAGCACAGCCTTCTCCTGAGGATCAGACACCACTTCTGTGCTTTGAAACCACGTCCAAAATCCACCTCCCTCCACATTTCAAGAACAAAATCAGTTAACAAAAAAATTTCTTAAAATTCAAGCTTTTCTGTCTACTGCTTTCAAATATAATTAGTTTGTCATGACCTGCCTTAAATCACTTTTTCTTAGCTGATGAAACGCATCTTGACAATGAATGGTAAGCAAAAACCAGGTGCTTGTTAGAATAGAACAGGGACAATCTTCGATCAGAGACTCATTAAAGTGTTCGTTTATAAAGAGGGTAAATAAAATAGAAAAAAACCTTTTCAAATGTAGCAAAAACCACAGTAAAGGTGACAATTGCAATTGAACACACTGGTCTGTTTTGCAGAACTATGGACCCTTCGAAGAGCTCGGCCTTTATGCTATTTATAACAACAGAACCAAAAAGCCAAATCTGCCTCTGCCACGGGGAGATATAAATCGCACTTCAAGCCTACAGATTTCCTACCAGACTTCTGGATAAGGTGCTTCCTTTGTTAAATAACAGCGAAGGGAACCAACGTGCAGGGTTTAGTCTTTATTGGCGTAATCTCAGATAATACCAGGGTCGTACCATAAGTCAATTGGCAGGTCAACACATCACCTTCCTTTTAAACTCCGGATCTCCAGTTACAGACGACCTTTGGGTTCTCTTCCACAGACGGACAGATCCAAACGAAACCCAGCAACAAGAGGTTTTGCCTCCACTTCTACCAGGCTTGCCTTCAAAAACTTTTAAAAAACTATTTTCTGTAGCTTTTTTTAGACTCATTTAAGTTATCAGCTATTCACACAGTTAAAATCACAAATTCATCATTACCCGTCTATACCCCTTTAACCTCCAACCACTTCTTTCCTTGTCCTCCTCCTAGCAGGCAGAGACCTCACCCCGTTCTGTTTCCTTCATAGAGGACTCATTTTCCACTCTCCCAATAATGCTCATGAGACATCTAAGCTAACAACTTGTCTATCCAATTTACTGATTTTAACTCAAAGCGATATTAAATGCTGGTGACAATTCTACTCTCCTTGCAATAACTGTCTAAGAACTCTTCGCTACCATCTTCATTACTGTTACCAGTAATTGAGATGACTTAGATACCTTGAAACAGCTTTTGTCTCACTCGAATGGAGAAAACACATTCACGCGACTTCAACCTTATTGTTTTTCCTGGGGTATTTCTTCCCGTCCATCTAAAATCTTTTACCTTTCTATTGTCCCTCATAGAGATGCAATCATGCCAGGATCTCCATCCTCTCTTTTTTAGCTAAATCCAAAAAGATGCAAGAGAGGCACTCAAATGAAAAATACTTGAGAACTGACACAACAATACTTCAGTTAGAAATACATCTTCAGGGCAGGCAGGAAAGCATTATGTCCTCTTGCAGATGTTAGTAACTGCACAGATCTGGAGCTTGAGGCAACCTGAGAGCTATTTTGCCATTCAGACACATTCAAACTTCAGTCCGATTCAAACCGATGGCTGCCCAACACAGAGCAGGAGATCCTGGCGGGTGAAACGAGCCTCTTGAACACCAGGAACAATATTACTTCAATCATTTCAAGTCATGTTAAAAGATAGCAAATGTGATAATTTAGAATTTGAAGAAATCCATGAAGAACAAATCAGTCTGAAGACCTAGAAACTGTGAACACACAACCAGCCTAAGCCTTGAGAGGCCTGTGCATTGCACCAGTTCAGTTTAATGAAACCTAAAGAAGAATAAACTCCAAACAAAAGCAAATTGGATTTCTCATTATTCCAATTACTCTAGTTTCACCACAAATGTTGAATACGTAGTACTTGCAATTAGATTTTTCTTCGGGTCAGCAAACACAAATCAGTTTATTGATCTGTTTATGCAGCCGGAGGTTTCATTTGCTGCACCATACACATCTTTGGTTTTATTTCACTGAAGCCTTTTCTTTAAAAATAGGTAAGGCTACATTCTGCTGAAGCACTGAGTGGAATGAATTTAGCAATTTTCAACCCCAGTCCCTGGAGAAACGTATCCACTCTCCAGAAACCTTGCATCAGTTGGCAAAACAGCAGGTTTAACTTAGCAAAACCCCAGGAACCCTCCCGATGAATACTGCAAGGCAGCAGCAGGAGTTTGTGTAAGGGCTGAGGAAGGTCGACGCTGGTGTGTTTGGGGAACACCAAGAAGAATATGTGTGCAGGACACAAGGTGCGCTCACACGACAGGACTGAAGCGATCGAGAGGAGATTTTGCCTCTCCGCTACTCTGAGGAGAAACAGAGAATGGCTTGGGAGCAAAATGCTCCCATGCGGTGGCCATCAAACATTGCATCAGCTAAACCCCAGCAGATAGCTTCGCCTTTAATCTCACTGCTGCAATGACAAATTCCTCTCTTTTGTGGCACAAAAATGCCACAAAAATGAAAAGAAGTCACCGATACTTCTTCACCTTGCACCCCCGTTCCTCTATGAACTGATTTCAAATGTACTGCAGTTTAACTTCTGTGCCGTTCCCTCTCTTAGACTGCATTCCTCCAGAAGGGAAAGGTACTACAGTAGTTCTGGTGTCTTTCTACATATCCTAAAAAAAGGTAGAACAGACATATTCTGAGCAGAACCTCAGCAGTACTCGCCAAATGCCAGCAGAGACCTCTTACAGGTGACCAGCTTTTCAAACAATTGCAATCAAGTCCTCTGCCTGGG